GTGCTTAGACCAGTGGTGGGCAACCTGCGACCCATCAGGGTAATCTGCTGGAAGGCCGCGAGACAGTGTTTACATTGACCATTCACATGCACGGTGACCCACAGCTCCCAGTGGCAGCGGTTCACCATTCCTGCCCAATGGGAGCTGTGGGAAGCAGCAGCTAGCACGTCTGCCAGCAGGTTACTCTGATGGGCCGCAGGTTGCCCACCACTGGCTTAGACAGTTATTGCTGAACAAGAGTGAGGAAAAGTCACATAAGGAAAAAGAGTGGGCATTTCTGCATCTCTAATACACAACATCAATATTTTTGGCACTAATTTATGCAACTGTACCTCACACACTACCATAGCTGGGATTATCCATGTAGCAAGGTATGGATTTAGGCTAAAATAGGGCTCAGATGGCCCTATTCTAACTGACAGAAGCTGGATCACTGAAAAACTGCCCCGTTCTGTTCATTCCCTCTGAAGCATCTGGCCCTGGCCACTGTCAGAAGACAGGATACTGGGCTGGATGGACCATTGGTTTGACCCAGCATGGCCGTTCTTATGTCTTTAGTGATCAAAACAGAAAGCTCTCCCCAAAACCACACTCCATCAGTTGCTACTGGTTAAAGAACAGGGGGCCCTCTTAATGTGATCTGTGAAATATGCCTTTTCTCTCTCATTGCACACAGCACACAAGCTACAGAGCAGCACCACCACCATCAACATTTCCCTCTGGACAGGCCAGCCAGTGGTAGTTGTGCAGATTACAGAAAAATCCAAGATTTGATACTTAGAAAGAGAATGCTTCAGAAGTTAAGTAAAGAATGAAATGGGGAAAACGTTTCTTCACATTTCTTAATACTAAGCAACAGTGCAACTTATTAACCTTTAAAGAAAGACTGGCCAGAAAGGTTAAAAAAAGAGGCGCTTTCCTCAAACAATGTAACCTGAATCCTTCTAGGGTACGCATCTCCTCCCATCTGCAGTAGTCCCACAAAGTCATCTTCGGAGACAGACTCCTGGAACCTCCAATTAATAAAAAGGGTCAAAAGTGCAACAGAAATCCACCCAATACCTACATATACAAAAGGGCACAATGTTGGCAGCAGAAAAAAAACAAAACAGATAAGATCCCGGAAGGAAACCACAAGAATACACCCCCAGCTTACCGTCAGTCTGGGTGTTACTCCAAATAGACCAAGGCCAAAGACAAAAGAAATCCTGGCCAAATTATTCCTTTTGGTCTTGCAGTACTTCCTGACTTGTATGACTGGCTGTTTCAATTCTATAAGTTACAGTATTCCTCTGTTGCTCCTACTATTTAATGTACACTTTTTCAAGGCCTTAGCAATCAGTACAGAATATACTTCTGGGTAATGACTGAAGACAAGTTTTCAAAGAAAATCACCAATTCAAAACGTGGCCATGACAAATCACTGAAAACAAGAGATGGTTATAACGGAGGAAGAGTTTAGAAACAAATGGGGGGAATGCACTTTTCCACCAATTCCCACCCTGACAAAACAGAAAAAAGGGAAATTGTGGCTAGAACAGATGTTCTGACAGGATCGGCATTTAATACAGTTACCTTAAGTAACACTACCTCAATATCTGCACTATCCCCTGCTAGGTAGTGCTGCAAACACCAAGGTACTCTTATTTAAGGCAAATTGGAAGTTTAAGAGTAAGGGAAATCACTATACCAGCATCTCCAATGCACAGTCTCCAAGCGAAGAGTATCAACTCTTAATTCTCATGAATCTGTCCTACACTAGCAAGGGTCAAGAAGAGTTGTGAAAAAGGGTCACAATTTCTTTTCACTTCTATTTTCAGTTATTTCTGAAGCACAAGAATCATGCAGCTTCTGTGCACAATGTAAACCAGGGTAATCGCTACATGGGACTTCAGGCCAAACGAAACTAAACTAACTTTAGGCCAAATATTTAGATACTGTATAAGAAACGGAGAGTTTTACAAAGCCTGATAGCGTTTGAAAAATGTGTGGATGTCTAAAGAACAATATATTTGAAAGGAGACGTTTTCTCTTATATGAACATTCCCAGACAGTGCTGCAAACCCAAATGCAACAGCACTGGGTCAGGCATGAGACCCAAACCAGCATGGAATCTCTATGCAAGCAGACAACTTTGTTTTATATGCAAGCATCAGTGATGAAAGTAGTAAATCAGACGGTCAGATTTCTTTGATATTAAATAACCTCAGGTACCATTAGTAGCACTTGTTGTTTTTTTTTTGTTTTTTTTTTTTACACAAGAGTTATGTTTGGTGTTGAAGTAAAAAAAATAAACAAAAGTGAAGCAAAGTTAGATCTAGCCAAGATGCCTTCAAAAACAAACAGAAGAACTTTACACAGACTACGTCAGAAACCAGTCACGACATATCTTAATGACTAGCTGTATTTGCAAAGCTGAGCAAGCAGAAAAGCCTTTAAGCTATATCGGTCTCCTGAGAACGAACAAAATAGATTAACAATCTCACATTAATGGACAAACAATACAGTTACCGCATAATACAAGCCAAAAGACGACTCCTCAATCTCTACATGTGGCTTTTACATTTCAAGCAAGAAACTGAACACCTATGTATCCCAACAGATCAATGAATGCAGTACAAAGTCTTCCCTCCTTTCTGTAAAGCATGGTTGGACGCTGGCCTTGCCTAAACTGTGGTTTTTCTCAAATTCTCTCAATGTTGCACTAGCACCAGTGTGGCATTGCTAACCGTGAGAGAATCTCAGAAAAACCGCAGTGTAGGCACAAGCTGTATTTAGAACAGGCCAACTTTTGGCTTCGAAGGGGACATGCAAAAGCTTCTCTCCTTAGACAAGCACACAGGAAGCAGGCTGCGTTCTTTTTATTAGGCTTGGGAGCAGTCAGTAACTCAAAATCACCAAAGATTCTTGTTAAACCAATCATCACAAGGAACAGAAAAGCATGTGGCAGCTTAACTCTTTCATGGCTGCTGGCGACAATGTTGGTGCACACCAGGTCCTGGAGCTTTGGGGTAAGGAGGAGGGGAGAACCTTGCCACTTGCAAAACTGACTGGGTGGGGGAGAAGGATAAGAAGGTTTTAGTCAAATTGCTGAAAAATAAGTGGAGATGGAGTAAGTCAGTCCTAATATGTTCACACCAAATTTCTCATCACAAAGGTGTTTTGTGTGTGTGTGTGTGCGCGCGTGTGTGCGCGCGCGTGTGCGCGCGTGCAGAGTTGCCTTTCATGTCAGCAAGTGTTCCACTTCTTTCCAGTAAATGTCTTTTTCAGAAAACCCTCTGGCACTTGGGCTACAATATTTACACTTGCACATCAGTGAATATTGTGGAAACTAGCAGAAATTTTGGAAGAGTACCAGAATCAGGAATATTTACACCTGTCACAATTTTTTCCACAGAAATTAACATGGGCAAAGACATCTCATAGCTCCACGTTGCCCCAGCTGAACGGAAGACCGTTATACATGCACACATGCACGCTGCATGTTGTGGCATACAGCAACATCCCTTGTATCACAAAAGCAGATGTTTCCATCTTCATCAGATGTTTCCATTAACATGGTGCTTGGTAATTCTGTTTGCACCTGCTTGTGATCAGAGCGAGTGCCAGCCATATTAGTGATTGGACTGACTGCCATGTGAGGTCTTTCCTATGAATGAGATCACATCACTGCTGGAGAAGCAAACTTCAGAGAAACATAGTAACTCATTTGATATTGCAGGGATTAAACCTCTCCATTCCCAGGCCAAGTTACAAATCGTGCTTTGAAGTTATGCATGATTCTTACAGATCTTCTCTTTGCTGGAGCTGAATTACTGTAGGGATTCCCTTTGGTCCCTCTCTAGGCTGAGGCTGTGACCTGAGCAGTTTTACACTGGTTCAAGCTAGCTGGGTTTTAGACATGGCTTTGTCAACCAAGGGTGGAGGGGATCAGACTGTTTAAACAAATATATTTTGGAAGATGCACACATTAAACAAAGAGAAAGTTTATAAAGCCTTTTGCCTAAATGCTATGTTCTAGTCGAATCCCCCATTCAGTGACCCTACATCTAAATTGTAACACTGTTGTTAAACTCTGTTTTAAACATATTTTGGAGCGACCCAAAAGTACCCAGCTAGACAGAGTCAGCCTGAATCCATTTTAAACTGGTTTTTAGAATTGGTTGAGGTAATTTTTTTTTAGCCCCTGCGTAGATGGGGTGATGAATGGTCGAAGTCTTGCCCATCCATAGTTACCCTCTTTCCAGCAAACCAGCTCTAAATGGGATTTCAGCACTGTATGGCTCTCACACTTGGCCATTAATTTTTCAAAAGCCAATTCCTTGCATGCCTGCAAGTTTCTCTGTGGCGCCTTCTTAAAGCCAGCACCTACAGGTAAAGAAAGGATGGGAGGGAGAAGACGATAGCTTCTGGGTTGTAGGCTTGTCCAGGCATGGACTGTCTTCATTTTGGGCCTTACAAAGTACCAAGCACAGTTTACCTGCTTAACAGTAAAGGCATTACAGAGGCAGAGAGAATGTCCCACTTGTTGGCAACGAGATGCATCCTGGAAAAATCCTTACATGGGAGACAGAGATCCTGACCGCTTGTGCTTTGTGTACCATGACATTTTTCTTAATAGAAGGCACAATAACCTCAGCGCCCTGGCCTGATTCCAGTTCTGAAAGTTACATTCTGCCTCCCTAAATTCCCACTGCAGTTTGATGGATACACGGTTATTCTTCACTTCCTTTCCAAAACATTGCATGATACTGTTAGTACCATTAAGTAGTTGCTACCTTTCACTTCAGAAGGGGCTACAATTCTGTAGTGGATTAAACAAATCCAATATTTTATATTATATATAGAGAGAGAGCGCGCGAGCGAGCGCGAGCGAGCGCGAGCGAGCTTCCAAAGCCCACTGGAATGCTTCTGGCTGAGAGGGGCTACATAAGAGAAAGCTGTGAAATCAGCAGCTATCAGCAGCAAGAGATTTAAACCAGTAAGTGTGAAGTACCTACCTTGGGTAGCCCAGAAAACACTGACCAGTGCGGATGTCACATCCTTGCTCTTTACCCAGCTGTTGTTGTGGTGCCTGCTCCAGGCAGAGGCGACACAGTAATAATCCCCTCTGTCTGCTTCAGAGGTCCATTGGATTCGTAAACTGAAAGTACCCATGGCCTGTTTAGAGAAAATTATTTCCCCATTCTGGGTCCTCTGTCTGCTCTTATCCCCAACCAGCAACGTCCAGTCTGCATCCATAGTGGCAAGAAGTTCATCCGTCACAACAGCGTCATTGCGCAGGCGCATTCTGTAATACCAAGAGACGGTAAAACGTATGTTTGCTTCTGTGTTCTGCGCATTCACGATCCTGCACTCCAATTCTGTGGGGTCGTCTGAAAATTTAGGCGTTTTAGAAGCATTCAGAACTATCTGGTAGTCCAGCTCTGCAAGGGAATTGGAAAAGCGGGAAGAAAGCCAAGAGAACATGTTAAAAGTAGCAAGTAAAAAGCAAACACCCAGGTAACAGTGAAAACCAAGTGCCGTCCTGAGATCTGGAGCTATCAAACACGACACAGAAAAAGCATGTGGGCTAAATATAGAAGACTTGTAAAATCAAGGGACTGGGAACCTGGACTCAGGCTCTGCCATAGATTTGTGAGACCATCAGCAAGTCCCAGAGGTCAAAATTTTCATAAGTGGCCTTTTATTTTAGGCATCCAACTTACTCGTTGAGCTTGATTTTCAGCTCTCATGGACTTTAGCGTGAGTTGCCAGAGTCCAGTACTTCAGAAAATCAGGTCCAAAGCCTCTCAAGGTGATGTGGCCTCTGAGAAATAATGTTTCCTTCCCTGGCCTGTTCTCCGACATCCAAGTGTGCAAGTTTCAGTCTCAGATTTTAAATCACCTTTTGTGTTTCCTCAGAGAGTTCAGGATGAATGTATGACTTGGGACTCTTCATTCTCAAGTTGCAAACTGATCAGTTGAGACTCTAGTAAATGACACCCCATCTCCTCTCCCTCTCCAGGATAAAAAGGCCATCCCCAGAAATCACCACTTCCCACTTACAGTCCCATGCCCCACAGATCCCCCATACCATCACCTTGTCAAGGTTAACTCCAGCAAGCATCCTAGAATGTTTAGCTGGTTAACATGACAACCAAGGATGCACGTACCAAAAGCAATTTTGAGTTTGAATTGTGAAGTGGTATGACCTGTATGGAGCTGGAATCTCTCAAGGTTCATAGTTTAAGAGCTGAGCAGCTGAACCGAAGGTGGAATAGCTGGTTGTCCTGACCCAGGAAAGGAGGAGTCAAGGGTGCATGACTTTGTTCTCGACTAGATTACAGAGACAGCAGACTACAGGCTTGTGAACTGAGCTACTATGGTAAGAATCTCTCAACACTGAATTTTAGTTATGGAAATAAGTGCTTTTCTACCAATGATAAGACTTATTTTTCCTGAATTACTTTTTTTAATGTTACTTGAAAAACAACTTCCTACTGTTTTCTGACTAAATATCCCAACATTTTGTTTTTGTTTTCAACAAATTTATTCTTTATTCCTTTATCTTGTGGTTGATGTATTAATCTCAGAAACAGTAATTGTCTATAACTGGGACAAAGAAGGAAATGCAAGTCTAAAATGTAGCCATCTCTCAAATATGGCACTAGAACAGGAGCGAGCAAACTTTTTGGCCTGAGGGCCGCATCAGGTTTTGGAAATTGTATGGAGGGCTGGTTAGGGGAGGCTGTGCCTCCCCAAACAGCCAAGCATGGCCCGGCTTCCACCCCCTATTCCCCCCCCCACCTCTTCTCATCCCCGCGGACTCCTGCCCCATCCAAGCCCCCAGTTCCCTGACGGCCCACCCCCCCAGGATCCCTGCCCCATTCACCCCCCACCCCCCTGCTCCCTGTCCCCTGACCGCCCCCAGAACCCCCACACTGCCCCCTGCCACCCCATCCAACCCCTCCTCTCCTTCCTGACTACCCCCCCCCGGACCCCTACCCCTGACTGCCCCCTGCCGCCCCATCCAACCCTTCCCCCTTCCTGACTGCCCCCATTCTACCCAGCCGTTCCCCACCCTCTGACCGCCCCACCCTCTGTCCATCCCCCCCCCCCCCCCCCCGCATACTCCCTGCCCCCTTACCGTGCTACCTGGAGCGCCGGTGGCTGGCGGAGCTACAGCCGTGCCGCCCGGCTGGAGCCAGCCGCACACTGCACAGCACAGAGCACTGAGTCAGGCCGGGCTCTGCAGCTACGCTGCCCAAGGAGCTTGCAGCCCCCCAGCCCAGAGCATTGCGCCAGCGGCACAGTGAGCGGAGGCTGCAGGGAAGGGGGAACAGCAAAGGAGGGGCCGGGGGTGAGCCTCCTGGGCCAGGAGCTCAGGGGCCAGGCAGGAGGGTCCAGTGGGCCCGATGAGTTTGCCCACCTCTGCACTAGATTAGCGGAAACGTGAGGAGGTAAGCCCTAGCGCCTTTTCTCTCCGGGTGAATTTGATAGTACAATTCCACTTAATCTGGCTACATCTACACTGGAAAGTTCAAGGGAATCTCCCGTAGTTGCTATCTCTGGTGCAGTTTCATCAGCGCTAGTAACCATGGGAGCACTAGTGTAGACTAGACATCAGTTGTTTTAATCATTGGTTTTTACAGGATTAGATGACCAGGGTAAAAATGAAAGAAGCTAGTTTACACTACTGCTTCCATGGTTGCTAGCACCAGTAACAGTGGGAAATTTCCCTAAAATTCCCAGTATAAACAAGGCCTTAAAAAAAATGCACAGAATTCTGGTTCCACTTTCAAACAACAGGGTCTGTGTGGGAGGCCATGAGACTCAACACCGCGATCCTTGAGAGAACTAAATCCCCACAGATCCTAGACAACTATACCACTCCTCACATCCCGTTTACACACAGCAATAATCTTCAAGACTTGAAACTGAAGGACAAGTTACTTAAACCATACTGCAGTATTCTGACCCCTCCAAAGCCAGAGGGGTTATGATTCAAGAGTGGTAGCTACAGAAGGTTGTGTCCTGTGACTGCTTTAGCAGCTTGGTACAAACATGGGAGAGTTTGAAGGCTGAAGTTCTTCTCAGGCCAGGAACAGGATGAGAAAAGAGCTGAAAGAAACAGTTTTCAGGTAATCACTTTGGTATTAGTATTAATTATTTATTAATAATAATAATTAATAATTATTGAGGAGGAGGAAGGAATGCTAGGGAGAGTTTTGGCTTTGACAGCACCACTCTGGCTAGGCACATCACACTGACAGACACTCTCAGACAGAGGATTTAAAAGGAATAAAAGGCTCCCTGGATAAGCCTCATTCCTCCACTCTGTCAGCTGTCAACGAACAGCCTCACTGACAGTTCAGTGACTTAATACCACATTCGCACTGAACTTCAATCAAGGAGGAAGGGGTTAGTGGTGAGTTTAGGATGCAGTTTAGAACCTCACATGCTGAGAACTCTTCTCCCACTCCCTCCCAGCCCTAGGCAGCAGTATCGTATGAGGAGTAACATTTATACACTCCTGTATCTCAGGCAACCGGTGAGAGATAGGACAGGAAATTTCTACCAGCCTAAGGAATGCTTCAGACCAGAGACAAAGTGACCTGCTGCAGCCAGGTTTTGAAGCCCAGAAACGTAACAGGAAGTTGGGAATGGCCAGATGATAGTTTGAAAGGAAGACGGGGGCCAGCACAGGATAGCAATGGCATCCATCTCCTAAAGCATATTGGGAACATTTTTTAAAATGTTAATGGCTATTTACTGTTTTGGAGATGGAGACAGAAGTGTGTCTATTCTCCCTACAATGCATATGGGAAATAAAGAGTCACCCAAAGGGGTCTCAGTGGGACGGTCAACCTCGTGACTTGGCCATTCGCTTCCAAGTATCTGGGTTCAGACCCGAATTTAGGCTTGTTGGCCTCCATTCTAATCCTCAGACCAGCACCACAGTTTGGCATTACTGCTAGTGTCTGATCAGGAATGGCTCTGAACAGGAATAGTAGGAGGCTTCAAGCCACAACTGAGTGCACTGGCAGAACTGGGGTACCTTGCACACCAGCCTAGGCATTAACTAGGCTCAGTTAACTCTGAAAGATAATCAGTACTTTCTGGATTTTAGCACAGAGAGTAGGTAGAAATGCCCCCCCACTTCCTCCAGGTTTGAAATGCTGTCAGAAGTAATTTAGATCCTAAATGCAGAAGTCAAATAAAGAAATTGTTTTAATCATTTGTTGAGAGAGGCTGACATGTCATGGCAAACTGAAAAATACAGCTCTTTAGAAATTCTGCTTAGGTTTGGTTTTCTGGATCACTCCAGCGTGACTGTTCGCTTCTCAGGATATTTGCATAAAAACAGGATCTTTGTAGCTTAAGAATTCAAGGATTTTTAACATACCATATGAACTGGAAGACATGACTTACTCCTAAGTGACACATGGCATGACCTTTGACTTGTAAAACAAGTCCCTTGATGTCATATGGTATTAAGGGTCTCTATAATAAAGAAATATAGGGGAGACCACTAAAAAGTAACTATAAGGTCAGTAAATTTACGACTAGATTAGACACTTGTGGTTAGTGAGTGGAGCCACGAGAAGTTACTGTACGAAGATTGCCTGGCTTGGTAGTTCCGTGTACAGCCAAACAGACAATTATTTGTTTATTTGTACGGTTAAATTAGAAAAATTCACTCATTTCTAGAATTTTAAAACTTATTTACAGTGAATAGAAAATTCCGCTAGTCCAGGTCAACTTACATTAATGGTCACCTGCAAACAAATACCATCTGTCTTAATATTGAGGTATTCAGCGAGTGCAGCATAAAAACCTTTACAGAACAGATTACTAAATCACACTTATGGAACAACCGGTCATAAAAGAATAAAGATAACCGCCCCCATAGGGACTTATCAGGCTACTAAAGGTGTGGAAGCTCCAGAGTTCACCAGTTCCTGTAGGTTGTAGTACAAAGCCCTTAGGCTCCTGGCAAATCTCCTAAAATACATGACAACAGAGGCCAGAAGAGTGGGTGTGAATGGATCTGTATCGCAAGGGGCATGGATAAAAAGACTCTGGCGTAGGAACATTTTTCCATATCTGTGGTCAATAGGATAGAGGGGTGCCCAGAACAGACCCTGTAATGTCTTTGCTCTGCATACTCCACAGTGGAATTGAACACAGGAAAAGAATGGCTCATTATCTGTTGAGCCTCAGGATGGAGCCACTCACCTAATGCTGTCACCACCACGCTGACTGGTGAAGAGGTCTTCTCCACCACCTTGTGCCAACTCCCATTGTGCTGTGGCACCCAGACAGATGCTTGGCAGAAATAGTAGCCAGAGTCTTCCACACCCACATCACGCACCAGCAGGTGATAGGAATTTCTATCCATGTGACTCAGGCTGATGAGGGGAGAGTTGCTGACCACAGAATCACGGTCCACACTCAACAAAACCCGGGCATCCGACAAGGTATCATCAAGTGACTCACTGAAGTACCACGTCACCTGAGCTTGGAAGATGCCACTTCGGTCTGTTGTGATGTTGCAGGTTAGGTCCAGGGAATCCCTTTCAGTCACAGACATGTTGCTTGTGGCAATAAGCACATCCAGAGCTTGAATATTAAAAAACAAGACAAGACAAGTATTCAAGTGTTTGTCACAAACTATTTAGTGCCTACTGCTCTGGTACTGCAAGTTCTTAAGTAACTTCAGCTCTCTGCTTTCAGCACTCGATGACTTGACTACAGGTTTGTACCTATCTATAAAAGTTGCAAACTATGAGTGTGTATAGCAGTTAGGGAGGGAGAAATCAAGACTTGAGTTTTTATTCCCAGCTTTGCTACAGACTTCCGGTGTGTCTTTAGGCAAGGAACAACCTCTGCACTTGCTTTCCCATAAAGAAAAGGTGGATAATATTTCCTTATCTTACTGTGGTGCTGAGACATTTGGGGTCTAATTCACAGAAGGCAGAACTCCTACTGAAGTGCACCCATTTATATCAGAGCTGAATTTGGTCTCTATCTAAACAATTTTAAGCTCCTGTGATCAAAGGATGAATGAATAAGTAAATAAATAAATAAAAATGAAAAGATAAAAGAAAAGCAGCAGCAACAGCTACAGAAAGTTAAGCGTGACTTAATGTAAGCAGCCATGGCCAAATCTTGAACTCCTGACTCACCTTAAGGGAGTTGCTGAGACCAGAAATGAAAGTGCACAGAGGGCAATGGTAGTTCATAGACTGCTGCTTCTTCACATACTACAGAGTCCAACATACACTACAGATTTTACAGCAATGCAAATAGCTACTCAGTGTTGTTGTCACTATATCAGTCCCAGGATATTAGAGAGACAAGGTGGGTGAGGGAATATCATTTGTTGGACCAACTTCTGCTGGAGAGAGAGACAAGCTTTCAAGCTACACAGAACCCTTCTTCAGCTCTGGGAAACTTACTCAGAGCATTTAACAGGCTCCTCTCCCGCCCAGTGGTTGTACTCAGTCCACAGAACACATGGTCACAGGCAGCATTCAGAGAGGACCTTTGTGATCAGTAGGCTGCACAGCTGATGACAGCATCAATTTAGTTTAGTTTAAATTAGAGGTGTTGATTACTCGCAGTTAACTCACATGATTAACAAAAGAATTAATCGCAATTAATCGCTGTTTTAATTGCACTGTTAAACAATAGAATACCAATTGAAATGTATTTAATATTTTGGATGTTTCTACATATTCAAATATATTCAAATACAGAATACAAAGTGTACAGTACTCATTTTATATTATTTTTATTATACATAATTGCACTGTAAAAATGATAAACAAAAGAAATCGTATTTTTCAATTCATCTCATATAAGTACCATAGTGCAAATTACAAAAGGTAGATTTTTTTGGTTATATAACTGCACTCAAAAACAAAAAAAAAAGGTAAAACTTTAGCACCTACAAGTCCACTCAGTCCAACTTCTTGTTCAGCCAATCACTAAGACAAACAAATTTGTTTACACTTATGGAAGATAATGCTGCCCGCTTCTTATTTACGTCACCAAAAAGTGAGAACATACGTTCACATGGCACTTTTGTAGCCAGCATTGCAAGGTATTTACATGCCAGATATGCTAAACATTCATATGCCCCTTCATGCTTTGGCCACCATTCCAGAGGACATGTCTCCATGCTGATGATGCTCATTAAAAAAATAATGTGTTAATTAAATTTGTGACTGAACTTCTTGGGGGAGAATTGTATATCTCCTGCTCTGTGTTTTACCTGCATTCTGCCATATATTTCATGTTATAGCAGTCTTGGATGACGGCCCAGTTTTAAGAACACTTTCATTGCAGATTTGACAAGACGGAAAGAAGGTACCAATGTGAGATTTCTAAAAGATAGCTACTACACTTGACCCAAGATTTAAGTGCTTTCCAAAATCTAAGAGGGATGAGGTGTGGAACATGCTTTCAGAAGTCTTAAAAGAGCAACACTCCAATGCGAAAACTACAGAACTCGAACCACCAAAAAAGAAAAATCAACCTTCTGCTGGTGGCATCTGACTCAGATAATGAAAATGAATATACGGTGGTCTGCACTGCTTTGGATCATTATCGAGCAGAAGCATGTCCTCTGGAATAATGGTTGAAGCATGAAGGGACTTAAGAATCTTTATCACATCTGGCACGTAAATATCTTGCGACACCAGCTACAACAATGCCATGTAAATGCCTGTTTCAGGTGACATTGTTAACAAGAAGCGGGCAGCATTATCTCCTGCAAATGTAAACAAACTTGTTTGTCTGAGCGATTGGCTGAACAAGAAGTAGGACTGAGTGGACTTGTGGGCTCTAAAGTTTTACATTGTTTTGTTTTTGAGTGCAGTTATTTTTTGTACATAATTCTACATTTGTAAGTTCAACTTTCATGATAAAGAGATTGCACTACAGTACTTGTATTAAGTGAATTGAAAAATACTATTTTTTATTTTTACAGTGAAAATATTTATAATAAAAAGATATAAAGTGAGCACTGTACACTTTGTATTCGGCATTGTAATTGAAATTAATATACTTGAAAATGTGGAAAATATCCAAAAATATTTATATAAATAGTATTCTATTGTTTAACAGCGTGATTAATCATACAATTAATTGCGATTAATCACAATTAATTTTTTTAATCACTTGACAGCCCTATTTTAATAATGAAAAGCATGTATTAGGAGGGACTTCCACACTTTTCATCCCTTATGCTTCGTTAACAAGTGCTATTTACCTCCTGCTGCAAGACTTTTCAGGTGTCTGTCACCCTGTCCCCTCTCCTTCATTTGTCTATTTGTTTATGCACATGTCCAAGGACTGTTTGAGCTATTGTTTGTACACTGTCTGATTGAACTGGCTCTAATCCCTGATTAGCATTCTAAGGGACCTAAGGATCCCAAGGACCCGAATCAAGGATTAAGAGCCCAATTCTACTAGACCCTGTACAAGCAGAGTTGTTACATGTTCCTTAACAGTGACCACGTGCTCACCTCAGAAGGTGGTTGGGCATTTTTATGGTGGTGAAGTGATTTCTGCTTAGATGCTCATTCCTGTACATATTGCCTATCAGCTTGTAAAGCATTTAGGGATTCTTGGGAATGGTACTATATAAATGCAAGAACCTATGAGCTTATCTACACTACTGGGCAGGATAGATCTAAGATCCAACAACTTCAGCTACGTAAATAGTGTAGCTGAAGTCGACATACTTAGATCTACCCACCGCGTTTTCTCCACTGCAGTAAGTCGACAGGTGACTCTTCCCCCGTCAACTCCCACTTGCGCTCCTCGTTCTGGTGGGAGTACCAGAGTCAATGGGAGAGCGCTCAGCGGTTGATTTATCGCGTCTATACGAGATGCGATAAATCGACCCCCACTGGATTGATCACTGCCTGCCGATCCGGCGGGTAGAGTAGACAAGCCCTATGTGTTTTTTCTCAATTTTCAAAGCCCTTGTCTTTAAAACCAAGAATTACTCCTCTCACAGCTTACCACTGCATCTGACAGCACAGAAAAGTGAGAAGGCTCAAGCTGACACCACAATACAGGAGACTTGCAGTCACCTACATGCCCCAAGTACCTCCTCACAGCCGACTAAGGGGTCATTAGTTTTTCCTGTTAGGATCATCATGATATGAGTAGAGAGGACAGTAAAACCTTCACAGTAATTATTCAGGGTTGTAATAGACTAACATTACAACTCCACTGTAAGGTGAAGGGAGCCTCCAAGAAACTTAAGTATCTTCACACAAGCCAGGGGCACTCAAACACTACATTTATAAACCAAGAGATACTTTCGTAAGAATCTCACTCCTCCCCACATTCCTGAGCCTCCTTTGTTCTATCATCACTGAAGTGCCTGAATGCCCCATTCAGGATTACAGGCCCACTATGCTAGATGGTGCACTTAACCATAGGAAGAAGACAAGTCCCTGTGCCCGAGATCTTAGAATCAAATTTAAAACAAGGCAAGCAAATGTGACAAACAATAGAACGGAAGGTAGCAATAGGACAAGGTTAGCAGTAACAAGTTCATGAAGTTACATAGCCTATGTGCACAAATTAACAGTACTATATCAGTTTTGCAGGTTCACACCTCCTTATTTACAGAAGAGATTGTAGTGTCCAGGACGGCCAAAATAGCCTGAAATACACTGCATCCACCTTTGTCTTTAATATGGAGGTACAGTCTACAGAGGCTACAGGACCCAGTACAAAATGCTCTCCAAAGCCAAGCAGTCAGGCCATGTTGCATGATGGTATATACAGCATGTACAGGCCACATCGGACCACCCTCCATTTTATATGTAAGGAGGAGGATGTGATCTACTCAACATTATGCAATTTAGGACAGGCCTCCTGCTCCTGACAAATGGCTAGTGCTGCCATTGGCCAGGCTGAATTTAGAAGCCTATAACAAAATAAAAAAATATCAGCAAAAATGCAGTAAAATATCATGCACAGCATTGCTGGTCCCTAGTGCCCCCTCCCCTTTCATTCAATCACTGATTAAACCCCACCTACATAAGCAAGCTTCTCAAAAATTTAAGGACTTGACAAGGCAATGCCAGAATTAGAGCCCTTACTCAGTACTGTACCCCATGGCTCTGGAGAGAGCATTTGAGAGCTTTCCTGTCTAGTAGACATACCCTAAGAGAAGAGGGAGCAGACTGATCCAGCAGAGCTCACAACTAAGCCCCACCAACCAAAATTAGCTATCTAACCCTAAGTTCCGGGTTCTCTCTCTGGCAAAGGATTTCACATGGCAGATACCTCTACTGCCTGAGCACACTGTCACAGTTCAGGAGAACTTCACCTATATTTCCCCTCAGAAATCCAGCAAGGGCACCCCCTCTCAGGCTTCCAGCTCCCCAGCTGTTGCCTTTCTTGGGTGGAGACAAACACCTCACTTCTTTCTGATCAGGGAATTTCCAGGAGGCCCAGCTCCCTGCCTACACTGTGTTATTCCCAGCACAAGCAGGCTGCCCAACCTCACCTATTTGCTTTCCTTTCAGAGACTGATAACAGAGGTATAAATGACTACACAGTTCTTCCTGTGCAAGCCTATTTTATTCTTAAGATAAAAAGCACTATAGAGAAAACACTAAAGAATCTACATGTGTAGTGGTAAGCTCACCGGAGAATCTCCCAACCCTAACGCCGCCTCTAGCAGAGTAGTCCTTCCACACCCCATCCAGATTTCACAGGTTCATCACAGCTTCAGCTCACAATCAGGACCCTCATAACACGTTTAGTCCATCTTTTATACAGCTCAGGGGTCTTAGAGCTGGAGTTTCCAGGAGCAGGCTGTTAGTGGACAATGGGTTTTCCTCCCCTGGTTGAATTCTCCCTTTTGAAGCTACAAAGTGGATAATTTGCATTCTCCTCACTCCACCGCTCCCCATGCCCGCCCCCCTGCCCGTATTTTCTAGGAAAACTATTTTACGCACATTGTCTAAAAAAAAAAAGTCTTTTGAAGTTCCCAATGTTTACATTAGACAAGTCCCTAGAAAAGTTACATGCAATTCTACAGTAACACGAACAATTGCATTTTCAATACAAGAGACCCCAAAGGCACCAAACCCAATTAAATAAGGTTTAACTTCATTCAATAAAGTTGGTCTTAATTCCATAAGGTGTATTCAGGATATTGTCAGCCTGTCACACACACTTCCTAAAATACTATCACACTCTCATTTCTGAGGGGACATCATGCCTGTTCTTCCACCAACTACATGATAAGATGCATCATCACTATTACAACTCCCCCAACCCCACACTTTGGCAGGGCTGGCACACTTATGTGCTCAGTGTATCTATTCATGAAGTCTGTGGGAAAGAGATATTTGGATACTCAACCCAGCACCAGGAGTCTTTTTGTTTCCTAAACACATGTAATTTACAGTGCCTAAACATCAGTGCTCAGAAATACTCCTTGCTAAACGGCTGCCAACATTACAGAGCAAGCAGTCCAATGGGCTGGGGGCAGCAAAATGAACACAAGCAGAGCTAAACAGTCATACTTTGAAATTATATTGGTCTTTACCCTGAAAAGCTACATACAGCAAACACTACACACCTGCCACTGAAGCACAGACACCTCTGGGGAGGACTGAGGCAGCTGTTTAACACCAGAGGACAGAAAATAGAGGAAAGGGAGAGAGGAATCCGGGGACAGAAAAATACGAGTACCCAAGTAGAAATGTCACCAAGACACAGTAACAACCCCGCTCTCGGGAGGTGCGACAGGAAATTAAATGACCGTAAGGGGTACGTCTCCAGTGGAATACAAAGACCCGAGGCACAGCCATGGCTGGCTCGAGTCAGGCTCACAGGGCTCAGCATGCATGGCTAGAAATTGCTGTGCAGACATTTGAGCCTGAGGTCTGGGACCCCGAGAGCGGGGAGGCTCCCAGAGCCCAGGTTCCAGCCTAAGCCCAAATGTCCACACAGCAATTTTACAGCCTGGTGAGCCCAAGTCACCTGACCCAGACCAGATGCGAGTTTTTAACTGCTGTGTAGACATACCTTAGTGATTTGAATCTGGATTTTATACCTCATTTAGAAGACAGAGCCCTCAACAGCACATCGCCCCCCAGCACTATGCTGAGGCCCTGTCCCAGCACTGACTCAGAAAGAAGAGAGCCACCAGTATCACCTCCTGCAGCAATCTAGGTTCTCCCAGGAGTACTGACCCAGGCTTTCCCTGCTTCACTTCTGCTCTCATAAGTTCTCCTGGCTTAGGTGTGGCATGGTTACAAGTCATAAGGAGACCCATGCACCTGAAACTCACCAGTCTGTTGGATTACCACGCTTGCTACTTCCACATTCTTCTCCTGGATCTTCTGCCAGGAACTATCTGCACCTTTCACCCACTCGCTCACAAGACACCTGTAGAGGCCCTCATCCAGAGGCAGTGCCTGGGATACAGACAGTCGGTAAATGTCATTTGCCACTGTGTCCAAGCGCACATCTCCACTCAGGTAGCGCTCTTCATACTCCGGGCTGGGCTGGAACTTGCCCTCGTGTGTCAGAGAGAGGATTTCCTGCCAGGCTGGGCCATTCTTGAGCTCCCAAGTAACTTGCAGGTGAGTGTGTTCTGAGGAGGTGGTGGAAGCTGAGCAGCGTAATTCAAATGAGTCTCCCTCAGACAGTTTGAGAGGTTTCGAGGACCGAGCTTTGGATCCACTCACAGTTAAGCCATCGGCAATCACTATTTAAAGAAGAAAACATGATAAAACACACAGAGTAATATATGTGAGTTTATGGAAACGGTAAAGAGAGGGGATGGGAAATGCTGTTGGCTGACTGACCCAACTGTGCAATTATGCTGAATTCTCACAGCAGGTCTTGGACAATCACTCTCATCTCCCCCACAACCTTCCTGCCCCCTCAAAAAACAAAGTCACATTAAACCCCAGGTATTTTATCAGAGCAAGCCACCCACTTCAGGAATCAGGATTGAAGTCCTTAATTTTATCATCACCCCTTTCCCTCTAGTTCTGCTCTCTAAGGCAAGACCAAGGCAACACCATTCCAACCGACTGTACATCCCCAGGGAAGGGCCTAGCTGTTTTTGTGGTATTCGGAGAAGAAACACCAAGTCAAAAAAAGCTCCTTTTCTAACATCAAAGGAGATAAGCCAGGATGCTGCTGCTGCTGAAGGAACACAGCATGCTATCTAGAAAAAGGGAAACTATTCCTACCGCACTGGGAAACCCCTAGATGACATTACCTCAGCTACAAAACATCATCCTTCTCCCACTCCTCAGTTATTCTCCCTGCCTTCACAACAACCAATATTTTACCAAGGGTTGTGGTGGATTCTCCACCACTGACCATTTTAAAATCAGGATTGGATGTTGTTCTAAAAGATCTGCTCTAGGAATTATTTTGGAGACGTTCTATGGCCCATTTGATACAGGAGGTCAGACTAGATGACCACAATGGTCCCTTGGAATCTATGAATCTGGAAAAATTGCAAATTTACAGCATCCTGGACTCTAAGAACAAACAATTTTTAGTGTGTTATTGGTTTTTGGCAGTTGGTAATATGAAAAAGTTTGGCTTCATTTACAATAATGTTCCTCCTTCACCTCTATCTTACTTCCCTCTGCTGTTGCCACCCTTTGAATAGCATATTTTTGAAGGGTGGCTTTAGGAAAGGACCTGGAGGGAGGGGGAACCACATACAGATAAGCAGAAACAGCAATTTAGACAAAACAGGGCTATGTCTATTCTCAGGACTGTACAGATGCACATGATGAGAACACCCAGCAGTACGTATTTGTCTGGTACTGATTACAAACACCCCTCACCCTGTGGAAATACCTTTCACTTGGACTGTAGCATCGTAATTTCCCTGAACAGTGGCATCTGTGCTGGGGGTGATGCACTTGTATTCTCCTTGGTCAATTGGCTGGATACTTCTGATCAGAAGTTCCACAGCATTATTGCTGCTCCGCCTCAGCACGATTTCCCTGCTGCTAACCCTCTTCTGGTATTGCTGGGAGGTGAATGATGAGTCCCAGGTACTCACTATCCGCACAAAGTCAGTTCCCTGGGAAAATTCCCAGTCAAAGTTCTGCTCACTGGGTCCATCATAGTCAGTAACATTGCAAGGGATCACCGTCTCTGTACCTTCGACTCGAATGAGTGGGCTTTTGGGCACCCTCACAATTCGCCCTTTGCAGAAAGCTGGGTGGGAAAAGAGAAAACAGACAATTAGGACAGGAATTATCATGCTGGGTCAGATGTGATGTCCGGCTAGTCCAGAATTTGGCTTCGGACTGTGCCAAGTATCAGATGCTTCGGGGGGGGGGGGGTGTGTGTCTCTAATCATTTGTCACCCACCAATTTCAATGCCTGATAAAATATTTGAGATGGGTTGGTCATAAGACAACACAGTATTCCAGGTGGGTGTGCATCACTGATTACATAAACACTTTGTAATACTCTGAGCATTATTCCCTATCCCATTCTGTATTCATTCTATTATTGTTTGCTTAGTGACCCACTGTCTATTGAGGGAGTTTCCACCTTCCTCTGGAGTGCCAACTGAGATTCACTCATTAAGATCAGATGAGGGTATCCCACAAAATCCATTTCCTTCAGACTTTCCTTCAGACTTAGATCTCCGCCTTTCCCCTCTTCCATGTTGCTGGATTAGACACACAAGTGGCTTTACATAGCACAACTAAGAACTGAACCAAGAACTAGACCCTTCTACTTTACCACCCAATCTTATTGCCATAATCCTTTTGCCTCCAGAGAATTTCAACTAAAACACAGCCCTTTGTATGTAGAAGGTAGGGTGACTACACAAGAGAAGCAACTAATTGGCCAGCCATCCAAAAGTGAAAGTCTGCAGTTACTACAGGATCTGAAGCCTGGACACACTGGGCTCCTTTCCCCTTCAGGCTAGTTGCCATGTGACATAATGATCAAAGACCAAAACACTCATGGGCTCCCCCAAAGCCTCTAGAGCAGATGTGTCAAACAAAACCTAGAGGCAGGATCTAGGTGTATAATTTATTTATGCAGTTTGTTCAGAATTTGCAGAACTTAAGTTTTCATGCTTTTTAAAAGTGAATTTTAGCCCTTCTGGTTACAAAGAACCTAAAACCTAACCCCACTAATTTAAGCATTACTCTTTTACTGTTTAAATTAGCATTAGAATATGCAGAGAGAAGAAAGGAGAAGAGAGAAGACAGGAAGGAGGATGAGGAAGGAAGAGAAACCCAGGGTGGAAATAGCAGGGGGCAATGCTGAATGCAACAATAAGGTACTAAACAAATAGCTAACAGTTTTGTTTCTACACAAAGGACATTCTAACCTGATCTCTCTGAAAACCTCCATGAAGTCTTACATTTTTACTCTGCCTTGACAACCAAAATTAAAAATGGTATTTAGCCTTCTCCACAGAATAGAGTTCAGAACCTCTGCTCCAAAGGCTAGTGGCTCTAAACACTTCTGTAATCCTATGTATTCCCTCTCCCACAGTTTACTCCCACAATAAAATTAAAACAAAACAAACTTTTCATTTACTTAAAAGATCCCCAACTTCTCTCACTTCTAGGGCACACTTTGAGACCACTTGTTGACTGCACCCTCAATCCTCCTCTAAAATCTTCTGATAGAAACCCTGATATGCCAGGGTTTCTATCCATGATAGGTAAACACTGTAATTGTGGTAAAAGGTCACTAATACAATATGAAAAGTGTTCATCTTGCCACTTGCAAGTCTTTTGTGCACATTCAGTTTCTGTATCCAATCTGTAGAAAATCAGCACCAGTCATTATTTGCTGGCTAAGGGACTATTACCCAAGGAGTCACAGATATTTAAGGTTCCAAAGGGCAAGGTCCTTTCACCCCTTGCACACCACATTTCAAAAAGTCACCTGGGCTTTCCCTCTTTTCTGCCACAGAGCAGTTCAGTAAAGAATGTGGTCTTTCCTTTCCACACCAGAAGAAAGAGCCTGATCAAGATTAAACTATCCAGCCTGAATTGCTGACAAACAAATTCCAAAACAAATAAAAGGAAGTCTAGAGAGTTCAGGAGAAACAGCAGCTTAAAATAAAAGCACAAAACTCAAAACAGAGAGGAAAGGAAACACTCCCCACCAGGCACCCCAAAACCCCAATGGAGACCATGGCACAAAGGCTCAGGGTTGGTAGATCAGGATTCCTGTACCACAAGACTGGATAATATTGCAAATATTTATTGGAAAACCAACCATGCACAGAGCTGTAGAGAAGATCAAGAAAGACATGGTCCCATATAGTATTCCTTAAACCCCACAACCATGCAGGCACAAAGGAAGTGTTAATTCTCTGCAGAAGACTGGAGAAGCAATACATTATGCTAGGGCCAAATGCAAACTACTTAATTTAGCCAGATGACCTGGCAAAGAAACAGTAGTGAGACTTTTCCGGTGGGTTTGGCTCTGTAGCCAGAGAATAATCTCTGCAGCTGCAGGCTGGCTTTGGCAGGTTAGCTCACTTCCCCAAGAGAGAACGAGAGCTGCCTTGATTCACAACCCCAGCCTTTCCACGAAAGAAAAACACTTTTTCAGCAAAAGACGCAAACCTTTCAGATTCAGTCGCTCAACAAAATCACTTACACAAACCTGTAATCCTGCTCCATCACCCCTAGCTACACATCCATTGCAAGACATATTGGTATAGTGTTTGGGAGTGCCGAGGGGCAGCCAGGATGCTGAAAGGATCTGTCCTCCTGAGACCACCCCAGCTTCTAGGACCACAAAGCAAGGTCAAGTGGATCTAATATCCAGAGTCCTCTGGAGAGCACTCACATGAACTCTGAGCACAGATTTTAAAAAATAAAGTTCAACAACTTTTAACCACTTCACCATCACTAGGGAAGCCACCCGTTATAGACATGGAAGAACAACATATTTGTCCAAGAAAAGGTCCATTAAACTCAATGATATCCCTGTTTGCAGATCAATGACACGCACAGGATACAGGGGGACTAATGCGAGATGCTGGCCACATCCAAGTCTAGCTATAGGATTTCCAACAAAAACATCCCATTGGTTAAAAGTCATGCTGTTGTCATATGAATTTGAGCCCAGTAAGAATGCCAGGATTTATCAATAGGAACCTCTCTCTCTCAGGGAAGGGCCCCATGTCACTCCTCACAGGGTATGCCCTGCCCATCCACACTTCTTTCCCATAACCTGCACCAGTCGGAAATATAAGTACTTACTTCAGTGCAACGTTAGTTGTAACAATTAAAGCCTCCACAATAATTTTAACAGTTTTGTGCCCAAACATTAAAATAAATTATCTGGTATGATTGTTTATCTTCTGATCACAGGTAGCATGACCTAGCAATTCAACTAAAAGAAGATTAATGAAAAATTGATAGGTGGTCCTCTTCACCCCTGCTATTAACTCCTATAATGCATTTTCCCATAGAATCACAGCCCACACTCAACCCTTCATTTTGTTGTACATTCATTTCTACTGGGCATATGCATGATATGGCAAAGAGAACATTGTGGTAAGCCTAGCTAATTTCCTGACTTTCATGCTATTAAGTTTCCAACCTTAGTGCTCCATTAAATGTAGGTTTTTTACTTTTAACATCTTTAAGAAAAACAAAGCACTATAATAAACCAAATGAAATAACAGCAGGAAAACATAATCACATGATAGATCAAGTCATTTAGTTTACTAGTAAGGAAACTGGACTTCTCTGCACCACCCAGCTATGTTTCTTCCACTTTCTCCAATTCAGTTTTAATGCAGGAGCCCACCCAGCGAGAGGCAGAATTTACTGTCTGCAGTGTGAGAGTGGAGATGAATATAATAAGCATGAAGATGTGCTCCTACAGGTTGCTGAAGACAGAAGCTAGAGGGACTAGTTTATTGCTTTACAACATGTTTATCTCCTCTCTCTACACACATGCACACCACAAATTAAGTTAAGTTAGTAATACAAACTGACCCAGTGTTAAAGGACTCAAGCCCATTTAAACCCCAGTAAGGCTCAACTCATATCCTTCCCTAACCCTCTACTCTTTTCTGAAGGGTGAGAGTCATAAGCAAAGGATGAGCTTTGCCATTTGCCCTGTAGGTCAAAACAGCCTTCGACAGACCAGCGAGTGGAGTGAATTCCAGAGTCCAGGATACTTCACCTACAACACTCGGCCAGGAGCCCCCGGACATTAGAATCTGGAGGCTACCAACCACAACTGTTGAGAAATAACATGAGGAAAAGCAATATTGAAGGCCTTGAATACACTAGAAAAGCTGCATGGGTTTAACGAAATTGATTTAATTAAGGTAGTGCAAGCTCCCTAACATAGGATGAACTTTAAAAAAAAAGTTTTCACCCTTACTTAAACTGGTTCATCTTACATCAGTAAATTATGGAAAAGCTAACCCTATATGGTTATACATGGTAAACCACTGGTCAGGAAAGAAGGTCTAAGTGCAGCTTCCTGAACAGTCCTATATTCTTAAAGGAGCAAGTGTCATGCACCTTCCCTGAGCAGCTCCATGTTGATATCCATGAAGCGTCCCCAGTGATCCACCAACACTTGCATAACCATAGATTTCTGTGGATGTACTCTGTGGCAAGGTGGGGTGGTACCAAAATAGGATGTACATGCCATCTATCACCCACACAGTTTGGGAATCTCATTGCTGCAAAGCCATCTACTATGCCCAGTGCATGGCCAAGGATCAAAGTCCTGCATAGCAGGAGACAATTAATGGCCCTGCACACCTGCATGACAACATACCCCTGCTTCCCTCTCCCGCCCCGTGGATTTTCCAACTTCAACAGGATTTTCCACTGACTGGTAGCAATGCAACGTTCCAAGTTTCCAGAGTATGATTACCACTCGCTCCTCCAGTGTCACTGCAGCTCTCATTCTGTTGTTCCTGAGCTGAAGGGCTGGGGCAAGCTCAGGACATAGATCCAGGACCATGACCTTTTGCATCTGAAAGTTCTGCAGCCACTGCTCATCATCCCAAATCTGTATTACAACACGATCCCACCAGTCTGCTCATTCTTGGGACCAGAGCAGTGCTCTGCCTCCCGTAGCTGCTCCATGAGTACCACCAACAACCCTGAATTGTTTTTCCACTCTGTCCCTCAGCAAACTGTCCTTGAAGAAATCATGTCCTCAGTTGTTGCGGTACTTCCTGCGGGTCTGTAAAT